TTGAAGCTAAAAATCAAACTAAGCAAACAAGAAGAACAGAGACAGAATCATGGATATGGAGAGTGTTTTGATGGTTGCCAGATGGGAGGGTGGTGTGGGGGAATGGGTGTAGAGGTGAGAGGAATAAGAAATACAAACAGAGCCCTGGCTGGCGTAGCTTTGTGGATTGAGCGTGGGCTGAGAACCAAAGTGTCACAAGTTCGATTCCCAGTCAGGGTACATGCCTGGGTTGCAGGCCATGACCCCCAGCAACCACACATTGATGTTTCTCTCTCTCTCTCTATCTCCCTCCCTTCCCTCTCTAAAATAAATAAACATCTTTAAAAAAAAAGAAATACAAATAAGTAGTTACAGAATAGCCATGGGGGATGTAAAGTACAGTATAGAAAATGGAGTAGGCAAAGAAGTTGTATGCATGGACATGAACAATGGTGTGGAGATTGCCTGGGGGTGCTGGGTGGAGGGGGGGCAAAGAGGGGAAAATCAGGACAAGTGTAATAGCATAATCAGTAAAACGTAATTTAAAAAAATACATAAAAGTGTATGCATTGGGGTTTCACCTATATATATTTTACTATTTAAAAACAAGTAATATGTACTCCTTGTAAAAACCATGAAGAGCAAAAATAAAATTTCTCTTCTGTCTCTCTCCTCTCATCAACTTCAATGCCTTTTCCAGAAATAAATATTGTTTAAATTTATATTTTATGTAAGTATAGCTGGTATACAATCTTATATGGGTTATGTTAGTTTCAGGTGAACACTATAGTGATTTGACATTTTTATACCTTACAGTGTGATCACCCCCACCACCACCCCCATTCTAGTGATCATCTGTCACATATAGACTTACCACAGTATCACTCACTATACTCCCCTCCACCTTTTCACCCATCTTTTCACACACACACCCCCTTTTGGTAACCATCCCTTTGGTCTCTGTTTCTATGAGTCTGTTTTTGTTTTGCTTGCTGTGTTTTTATAGTGCATTGTTAAGGGTACAATTATGGATGTTATGAATAAACAGTTGTGGATATTATGAAAGCTGTCAAGATAGGCAGGAAAGGGTTCACCACAGGTTGGTAGAAAGTGAGCAAGTGCTTGTCAGAAAGCACACATCAGGGTGTAGCTGGAGATAAAGGTAGTGAGTTAAAGAAGGTGGCTAATTGGTGGCTGGCTTTGAAACCAGTCTACAATTTTACTCGGATTTGGAGAGTAAATGGGAGTGAGCTTTTCAGAAAGGGTGATGTCGGGTCAAAATGTATGAGAGGGAATCGCACTGCAGTTAGCTTGGGAGGGAAAGGGTGCCCAGGGCCCAGGGTCCTTCACAGCCGGTGGCACTTGGAGTTTACCTCGTTTTCTTAGGGAGGCTCCTCTCTGCCTCTGTTCCTTTATCAGGGGCAGGCAGGCAGGGTGTGGCTTGTTGGTGTACAGGGACAGCTCAAAGGGAGTGTGGGGGACAGACAGGGGGAGCCCCGGGCTGAGGCCTGCGGCATTGGAATAAAAGGTGAACTTTTCCCTGGGCTCACCTCCAGAGAGCTCTTTCTGATCCTTCTGCTTGATGCCCAGTCTCCCTGAATGGACCAAGGGAGTGTCCACAGCTTGGAGACTCCCACTCTGATGAACAAAGGGTCCCTGATTCTTAAGGTGGTAAGTCCCCCTTCCTCTCCTTTCTTCATTCTTTTCAGTCTTTTAACTTTCTCAGGGCACTCAGGTTCATTGGAGAAACTATCCCCTTTCTCCTTACTCACGAGAACATTTTTTTTTAGATTTTATTTACTTACTTTTAGAGAGGAAAGGGAGGGAGAAAGAGAGAGAGAGAGAAACACCAATGTGCGGTTTCTGGGGGCCGTGGCCTGCAACCCAGGCATGTGCCCTGACTCGAAATGTGCCCGGAATCGAACCTGTGATGCTTTGGTTCGCAGCCCGAGCTCAATCCACTGAACTATGCCAGCCAGGGCCACGAGAACATTTTAAAGGACAAAATGAGGCGATGGGAAATTAGCACAGAAGGGGGTGAATGACAAGGGGACTGGATGGGTTTTTTCTAAGGACTCATTTCGGTATCATTGTCATCATTATTATCACAGCTGTCATTTATCCAGCCCTTACTGTTTTCCAGGTCCTGGGCTTTGTGCTCTCAGACTGACCACTGGCAGATTTGCAGGGTTTTCTTAAGTTGTTTGGAGTTGTCAAGTGAACTTCTGTTGCAGTGTTTTCCTCACTCCTAGAAGTAACCACTGTTTAAGATCTCCATTCTTGTCTTTTTCTAAGCATCTTCTCTCTAAATTTTATCACACTATCCAGAGCTTTTTAAAGTTATTGTTTGGATTACAGGGAAGATTTCCCATTGCTCATAAAGATGGTTCTAACCTGTGACTATGAAATACTACATAGTATTTCACTGCAAGAATGTGCAATTAGTTAATCATTCCCACTTTAATGAACTTTTAGGTTGTTTTCAATTTTTTCTTTTTGTAAATAATTTTGTGATAAGCATCTTCACCATCAAATTCTTGTGCACACCCTTATTTTTTTTCATAAGATTCTTTTCTGGAGGTAAAATCACTGGATTAAAACTTTTGCATATTTCTAAATCATTGGATAGTTATTGCTCAATTATGCTTGTGAAAGTTGTTCAACAATGGGCAAGAGAGCCATTTTGGGCTCTCTGGGTATTACTTTTTCTAATATTTGATAATATGAAGGAAGACAGAATCATATCTGACTGCATTTCTCTGACGGTTAGTGAGTAAAAGTCCTCTTTCCGATGTCATGCTCGCCCGGGTTGGTTTGCCCCTATGGTTGCTTACCATCAGTCAGTAACTTGGTAACGTGCTTCGGGGAGACTCCTTTGCTAAAGCCACCTCAATTGCCCTCATTACACAGAGTGGCAATCTGATGGAAGGACTTCATTTACCTTTTTATTCTTAGAACCTGGCACAGATCATTTCACTGCATCCTTACTGTAGCCCTATCTACGATGTAGGTACTGTTATTGAGTTCATTTCGTGTGTGAATGAGAGGAGGCTGGAAGGCGTAAACTAGACAGTCTGAGGCCACACAGCCAGGTCATGGCACAGCCAGGGCTTGGCCCCAGGCTGACTCTAGAGCCCATCCTCTTGAACAGTTAATCAACAAGCTGAATTTCGGAAGACGGGGCCATGGTTGGGAGAGGGCTCCTCTCATTTGATTTCAGGCAGCGCCGGTTCCGTTTGGAGCTGTGTGTCATTCTGGCCATGTCTACCCAGGGTGTGTTACAGAAGCACCTTTTAATTGAGGGTCTGGAGGACTGGGGTAACTCCAGGGGATCCTGGGACCTGCCTACTCTCACATTCAAAGAAAAGACAGATTTTCTCATTTACCTAGTTTCTCCTCTTCAGTTTCTGAGTAGCTGGCAACCTGCAGAAAAATGGATGGGATCAAGGCAAAAAAAAAAAAAAAAAAAAGTCCTAACTGCAATCCTAACCTCACTGTGGCCTAGTGTTATGGTGCCATTTGCAACATAGGGGGATTAGAGGAGTGACCCATATGCACCAGGATTAAAAACAAAAACAGCCCCAAACCAGTGTGCTATTGGCCACAAGAAAAACAGCCCTGGAAACGTGTTCAAAGCCTAAGTCCATCTTCAGCTTCTCAACCTCCTGTTGGCACACCCGCCTCCTCCAACTCCCACCTTTGCCCTGTTCCAAGACCTTCAAGGACCTGGCCTGATAACTTTTACAAAGACCTCCTTCTTTGGAAAAGATTTGCAGTCTTGGAGAAAATTTAGGAAATGATCTCTCCCTTGAATGTTTTTACATTTAAACTTCTTCCCAATGGTAACATGAAAGATTAGTTTCCTGCTATGGGGATTTCAGGCAGTCGGGTAGGTGGGGAACCCTTCAGGGTCTCTCTGTAGTTAATGCACTCAGGGCCCCACGCTTCTCAGGGGCCACAGCTCATTTACTGAGCATGTGTTCTGCCAGGCATTGGTGGCAAGTGCCTCACATGCCTTTGAACCCTTAAAAAAAAGATGTTATTTATTCACTCTTAGAGAGAAGGGGAGAGGAGAAAGAGGGAGAGAAACATCAATGTGTGGTTGCCTCTCACATGCCCCCTACTGGGGACCTGGCCTACAACCCAAGCATGTGTCCTGACTAGAAATGGAACTGGCGATCCTTTGGTTCGCAGCCTGCGCTCAATCCACTGAACCACACCAGCCAGGGCTGAACCCTCTTTGAACCCTCACAGTCCCTGTGAAGACAGTTCCCCGTTTATAGATCTGGGGGCCCCCAGATTTTTACAACTTTTCAGGGACACAGAGCTAGTGTAGCACCTGGGTGAGCTGGGACTTGAACCCAGGTCTTTCTAACTCCAGACCCTGAGTTTGTAGGATCAGTGCCTTCAGGATGAAATGAAGGGCCTTACTGACTGGGTTTGTTCTTTCTCGAGAGTCAAACTGAAAAGGCAGTCAGGGAAGAGCTCCAGGCCCCACTGTGGGGGGACGATTGGCCTGTAGCATTTCCCAAACCTGGCCTGGGGCATCAAATGCAGAAAGAGGCCAGTACTCCAGTGTTTACCACGTTAGTTCCAGGTACGAGTTCTCAGCCTTCCAGACTCTTGCCTAGGCCTTCTAGGGCACACTCAGTGCCTCACCCTCAGTCCGCCCCCACCTCATCCGCACCGTCATCCTCACTCACAGAATTTGCAGGCTCAACCATGACGCCAGCCTCTGTGTTCAGCACTTTCCTCCTTCAATGCTCACAAAAATCCTGCAGGGAGGCACACTGATAACCATTCTAAAGATGGAGAGAGAGAGAGAGTCTCATAGAAGTTGAGTCACAATGTTACACGGTGTAACTAGGAGAGCCAGGATTTGAACACTGATCTGTGTGATTCCTGAGCACCTGCTCCGTAGCCTCCGCCTCCGCCCCCGCCCCGCCTCCTAGGTTGTACACTTCCTCACATCAAGCTCACCGACCCTCTCTGGTGTCTCCCTGTCTGTCCTCCTAGTTCAAATGGAGACGGCAAGTTCCTCTGGCTCTTGGTTCTCCAGCTGCCTCGTCACACTCGTCTTCCTCCAGCTGCCCATACAGCTGTCAGGTAGGAGTCCCTGACTCTCTTTCCCTGCCGGGGGCGTCTGAGCAAGGAGTCCCAAGTATCAGAGGGCCTGGCGACAGGCTTTCTTTCTTCTGGGGTTCTGCTCTAACCCCAGTGCTTTCCAATGACCTTCTCAGGCTCTCTCCCTCCCCAAGATATCCCCTTCATCCTCTGCCAAACTCTCGCTCTCCCATCCCTCCCAGACTGCGTTGTCCCTTTTTTGTCTTCACCGCACAGGGGACTCCGACAAGTTCCCCCTGGCCCCGCTAGGGGGCACAGCCAGGCTGCCCTGTCCCCTCACTCTGTGGTCGATCGAGGACATCACCGAGGTGCGCTGGCTGCGGACCCCGACTCCCGGGCGCGCCCAGGTTGTTCACGTGTTCCGGGAACGGCAAGACCGCCAGGAAGATGTGGTGCCGGAATACAAGGGGAGGACGGCGCTGGTGGGAGAGGGCCAGCAGGAAAACCTCGTATTGGAGATCCGCGACGTCCGGCTGGAGGACCGAGGGCCGTACCGATGCCGGATCCAGATTGGAAACTTGAGTCGAGAGGGCACCGTGGATCTGCAGGTGGCAAGTCAGTCATTTTTTCAAAGGGGAGTGAGTTATGGGATGCCGTTACTAGTAGGGATGGATTTGGAAAGGTGCTAGGTTGCAGTCAGAGACTGCCTGGTCGCTTTGGGAGACGCAGGGCAGGGTGGGGAGAGGGCAAACGTTCAAGTGCATTTAACAGCCCCGCCCCCCGCTGGCCCCGGGCGGCCGTGGCAGCGAGGAGAGGGCTCCAGCCGGGACCAGGCTCTTGCCTAGGCGCTGCCACACAGCTTTCCTTTCTAGCTCTAGGCTCCGACCCTTACATCCACGTGAAGGGCTACGACGCTGGGTGGATCCAGCTGGTGTGCAGGTCGGTGGGATGGTTCCCAAGGCCTCGGGCCGAGTGGAGAGACCCTCAAGGCAAGGTGCTTCCATCCGAGACCGAGACCGAGGCCTCTTCCCTGGACGAAGCTGGGCTCTTCAGAACAGCGATATCCAGCAAAGTCAAGGACAGCACCGTGGGCAGTGTGTCCTGTGCCATCCGTAACGAGGCCCTCGGCCAGGAGAAGACCGCAGCCATGGTCATGGCAGGTAAAGGCTGGGGCAGAAAACAGGTTCAAAGGCCCTGGTGGTTCTAGAGAGAACTCTGACCATAGTGGAAACTTTGTAAAGAACTTTTGAATTTTTTAAGAACTAAGAATAACATGTTTACTGTAGAAAACTTTAAAAACATAGAATATTTTAAAGAAACAACAACAAAAAGGCCTCTCATAAATTGGAGAGACCTACTGCTAACATTTGAGGCATTCCTGTCAGGAATTTCCTGCACGTATCTCTGAGTGTGCATTGTTATGTGTATGTATTCTTCTGCTTAGGGTGATTCCCCCCCTCCACTTACAAGGCAGTGAGCACCTTTGCCCATGTCCTTAAGTAGTTCTCTGCAACATGATCTTTAAGAGCTGTGTAGTAATTCATTGTGTGGGTATAGCATAATAAAATTAATCAAAGCCCTGTTTTTTTTAAAGATTTTATTTATTTTTAGAGCGAGGGGAAGGGAGGGACAAAGAGAGAGAGAGAAACATAGATATGACAGAGAAAAATCAATCAGTTGCCTCTAGAACGCACCCCAACCAGGGACCGAACCCACCACCCAGGCACAAACCAGTGACCTTTCACTTTCCGGGGCGACGCCCCACCAACTGAGCCACACCAGCCAAGGCTCAAAGCCCTATTTCCTGACATCAGGATAGTTTCAGTTTTTTCCTCTAACAGTGCAGTGAGCATCACCGCACATAATTGGGGAAATGATTTGGATTATTTTCTTAGAATATGCTTCCAGAAGTAGAATTAATGGGCCAAAGGGTTATAAGCCTTTGAAAGACCCTTGAAATGGAGCCATGTGGCAGAGAAGGCTGCTTTTAGAGCCGAGAAGGATTGTGTGGCCTGGGGTCCCCACTGAGGAGTGATCATGGACCTCTGTGAGTCCCTTTCTTCTTTTCTGTCTCTGTCCCCTCCCCTCTCTTCCTACTGCCACCGCCTTTCACTAGCACTAAGCACCTCATATCCTCCTCTTTCCTCCCCACATCCCAGCAGGACTGGGATCGCTCTCATCTCATTTCACAGATAATGTGGAGAGGCTGGATCTCCTGCCTGCGGCCCGGGGTGGATGAGCGAGGACTCACACCCAGCGTAGGCTCTTCGCCGGTTGTCATAGTTCCTCCTCTGATCTTTTTTCCTTCTCTATTTCTTCTTTCCTTTCTCCTGCCAAGGCTTTAGGCCTGTAGCTGTGGGCCCACAGAAATTGTTTTGCCCCTGCCGATACGGCTCAGGACAAAGGGGTCGCTGAAATGATCGCAGATCCACAGCAGAGTGAGGGTTCAAAACTTGAGCAGGTGGCGCTCACGAGGAGACCACAGGAAGCCCCTCCAGTTCTTCAAAGAACTTGGATAATTCTTTCCATTGAATTACAGAGCAGGGTGAGGTTGTGGTTGGGAAGTTGAGTTTAACCCACTGTCTTTAGGCAGGACCATCAAAACCACTCCTGAGAGATGAGCATATCACTTTAAAGTCATCCCTGGGTTATCCAAGGTTTGAGTTACTGAGAGAAGCCAAGAGCCTCACCAGCCTTGGCTGGAAGTCTCTCCCTACAGGTGACAGAGACAGCAGGGACATACCTGAGCCCTCTTCCATGTGAGGTGGCCAGGAAGAAGCTCTGCGGCACCTGGTGAGGGTGGTCATTGGTGGTTCCGTTCCAGCCCCATCTCCAGGGAGGATCTCCTCCTCAGAAGTGGCTCTTGCTGTGACCCTGCCTGTCCTGGGGCTTCTCGCTGTGGTGGGCATTTTCTTCATTTGGAAGCAAAGAAGATCAAAAGGTAACTACGTGGTGATGGTGAGGGAGCTCGGGGCGGCAGGAAGTGGGGCTGAGGCTTCTCTGGGAGGAGGCTGGGAGGAAGAAGACACAGACGTGATGATGCAGGTTGGAGACCCTGCAAACTGACTGGGAGGGAACTGGTAGAACAGTGCTCTGGGACTCATATTGCAGAGAAGATCACAGAATCTGCAGAAAGCTCCTGGGAAAAGCTGTGAATTCTCACCTTTTGAGAAATTAAAAATAGCTGATCATGCCAGCCTTCTAATTAATTAAAAAATCCAATTCTATCCATTGGATAAAACCCTCATAAATATGATTGCATTTCTCAGGATCTCGGGGTTGTACAGCACTTTGAAAGACACATAATCCAACACCCCTCTCCCTATCTGGTGGTTGAAAGACCCTTTCAAGTGGTCACACATCATCAGTGACAAGGAGCAAAGTCCTCCTCGGGCAGTTTGTTGTCCTTGGTCAGCTCTGCCTGTTAGAAAAAGCCCTTCCTAAAGCTGAGCTGACATCTCTGTCTCTCTCCCTCTTCCAGAGAAGCTTCTCTATGAACAGGCAATGGAGGTAGGTAAGTGTCCTGGAATGGGGGGGGGGGATGTTTCTGCGTTTTACTCATTTTTGTGTCCCCAGTGCCCACTAATCTAAATTGTGTACCCGAAAACCCCAACGCCTGCCATTTCTGCTGGCAGGCAGTGATGTGGGTTCTGTCCCTGTCCTTTCCAGGCTTGGCTGACTCTGACTTGTAACAGCTTGCCTTTCAGTATGTTTGATGATTTTTGTCTGTGGACTCATTGCTTGATCTTATTCTGTGGGAGTCCTGTAGGTTAAACATGGGGGAAGCTTCTATTCATTCAACAAATAATTGATAATTGTGTACTAAAGTGCCCTGGACTGCACTAAGTGCTGGGGGGACAATGGTGAGTGAGAGCAGACAGTCTTTGCTCTCCTGGAGCTTGCGGTCCAGCCAGGGAGGTGTACGTGAGTTAAACAATTGCACAGATGAAGGTAAAAGTACAACGGTACAAATGCCATGGACGGGAGTTCTGGGAGCTGTGAGGATCATGAGCAGGAGGAGCCAACCGAGCTTCAGGGACAGAAGAGGAGTCCGCAGAGGAAGTGATGCTTGATCTGGAGGACGGATAGGCAGGGGGAAGAGGGAACAGAAAACCGTCCACAGCAGAAAGAAAAGCTTGAGAAAGAAACACGGTGCAGAAGGGAGGGGAAAGGTGACTCTACGAGGCTGCGTAGTTAGACAGGGGCCCGGCGGCCTGAGGCCTTGGGGGTCATGTGAAGGACTTCCGTCTTTCTCCTCAGGGCAGTCGTAAAGAAGTGAGTGGGATGGATGTCTCGGTTAGAATTGTGCTTAGAATTGTGCTTCGAAAGCTCTCTGGCTGCAGAAGGCACCAGAAGTAGCAAGACAGGATTGGGTGCAATTCAGGCTACTAGTTCTGTCACCCAGATGAGCGAAGATGAGGCCTGGATCGGGGGGTGGAGGTGATGGCAAAAGTGGACAGGTACAAGAGCAGGGAAAATCAGTAGGAATCAGGGACCTTCAAGGTAATGGCATTGAATCTCATTTTTTCTTAAAACTTTTTTCCCTCTAGAAAATCTTCTCTCAGACCATGCCAAAGAAAAAGGTAATTGCATGTATAGAATAAGGGGTAGGGAACAAATAACATATTCATTCTCCTTTTATACAAATGCTGACAGTCTATTATTTCACATACATTATACAGGTGCACACACATATTCTCCATTCATATTATTGGAATTTATCTTCCAGTCAGAAGGGGTTGCAGGGTTGCTGGCCGTGGGTGAGGGGACGCTCGAGGTAAAAATTCATAGGTCTGAATTATCACAAGCTCCCTTTATCAGCCTTTCCGACGATCATCTAACAAGGAAGCTCTATATTCTGTTTAAAAATACCTGAATATGCCCCTCTGGGATGTATGAGAATCTCACGGATCTGTACAACCTTTGCATTCAGAGAGGCGGTGTGATACGGTGGGAGCGTCACAGGCTCCGGGGTCAGCCACACCCAGTCAGCTCACTGGTCTGCCTCGGACATGTCACTTCGAGGCTGTGAGCTCTGGTCTCCTCATCCGTAAAACGGGGATAATGAATCCCCTCGCCCGATTTCTTTGTGGATTAAAAGAGACAACTTAAAAAAACCTCTCCTATCACAGTGCCTGGAGCTCCATTCCCTTATTGCCATTTCATCTTTATTAATGGCATATCTGCTCTGGGCCACTGAGGATAGAAGTTAGACGCCTAAGGTACAAAAAATAGGCAGGGTCCCTGACCTTTGGAAATCTAGCTAAGAGACAGGTCACTGGCTCAGAAATGGTTCCACAGGCAGTGATTGGGGCATCTCCTCTCCTCTTTCCTTCTGTCTCCTCCCAGCGGGTGCGAGTGTGGGAGTGCACCCTGCAGGGACACCGTGGCTGTTCTGTCCAAGGGCAGAGGCACCGCATGTGCCGTGCCGTGGTGAAGCCCTCCGACTGGGAGTCAGACAGGCTTGGGCTCGAATCCTGCCTTCTTGGCCACTTACTAACTGCATGACCTGAGCAAATTTCCATGTCCCCCTGAGCCTCAGACCACCACTCTGGAGAATGTGAATAATTATTACACGCACCTCACATTGTCAAGAGGATTCAGTGCCTACCTCATTATGAGAATAAGACACAATAAATGGAGGCTTTAGTAGTGGAAATATAATACGTCTATATTATCTATAAATAATATAAATATAAATAATGTAAACAATATTATACTTAACATTATATAACTATAATGCTAGTTATATTAGTAACACTAACGTAAACATAAACCATGAGCTCCTCAGGGGCCATGCCATATTTAGCTTCACTGCCCCAATGCCTGACACCTAACACACTCCCAGCCTGACTCAGCACAGCGCCTGGCAGTGGACTCAAGTGCATGACTTTGATTCTCTGTTGGGGCCAGCGCTAGGGAAAATGTGGACCGGATGGCCCCTCTGGAGAAGCCACAAGTACTCCCCCGAAGCATGTGAAAACTTCACATATGTCCCCAAACCATCTGGGACCTCCAAGTCTGTGAATCTCTCCACGGGACTTCAGGGGAGTTACTGTAGAGAATAGAAAAGCCGTGTCCACAAGTCAGTGCGAGGCCTCCACTGTGGATGTTGTAAACAGGAGGTAATAAAAGGGCAGCAAGGCGTACACTGGTGTACACACGGGTACAGACAGACGGAAACACTCAGGTAGACAGCGGAAGTGAAAGCAGACGACAAGGAAGGGCAGAGGTGTGACTGCTCTAGCAGAGGATAGGAACACCGACCTTTCCCCTGGGGGTGGGGGCGGTGGGGACGGAGGGCTGAGCCTTCCCGGGCTCAGGGATAAATCTGCTCACTCGCGCCTTTTTCTGTTTGTTTGTTTGTTTTTAGGAAGGCTCCATAAAGCCCTCAGTAAGTTCTCATCCGCGGCACAGACCTACTTCCAACATCTTTGCTTCAGGATGGGTGTCTCAGTTTTACTTCCCGAGGCAGAAGAGACCGAGGCCGTTTGGGGGGTGGGGGTGGGCAGGGTACTTCAAGTCTTAGGGTTGGAGATTTCTTGGCTTTCAATGGCCTCTTTTCTCAAATATTCCCCACTTCCCTTTCCTGTGCAACAGTTACCTAGTCTCTAAATGGGAAACATTCGACCAAGAAGAGATGTAGCTTCCCTAGGTGAAGCTGTCTGGAGACCCTTGAATCACCAGGCATGACATTCCTTCCGGAGGGATCCAAGGTGGATGGGTCCTCATTAAACTGAATGTGGGGCAGGGTTCCTCCACCATCTCGTGTAAGAGACCCTCTTTATTGCAAAAAGTTCAGACATGGCCTGTCTGTTTATTTTACCTTAATAAAACATACATAAGAAAATCTAATTGAAATCCAGTGATGGTTTTAAATGAAATTATAGTTTATTCTTCTCTCTCAACGTCTACATACAGTCATGCGGCCATTACCAGGATGTGTGAGATGCGGTATTTAACGAGGCGTAGTCAGGTCTGGCCCACTTAGCGATTTGCTGACCCTGCGCGGTGTCTCTGGGGACTCCCGGGGCACGGCTGGGAGCCGCTGCAGTGGCCAGCACGGTCCCTCAGGGTCCGGGGACTGACGTTCAGGGACGGCTGGTGAGGGTCTGATGCGGGAAGGTGGTTGGGGTGCGACTGCAGCCTTATGCAAATACGGAAGCGCCCCTTCTGACCTGTCCAACTGTTTTTATTCTTTAGAGAAACTCCGGAGTGAACTGAGTAAGTTTCCCGTGTTCTTAACACTTCCAAACCAACTCCTCTCCTGTTGACTCTATTCTCAGTGATCGCTCACCCCTCTCGTTTCTTTTTTTTATAGAGTTGAAAAGAGCTGCAGCCAACTCAGGTGAGGTGCGCGGTCCCCGCGCTTGGCTCCGCCCTCGGGGTGGGGGGGGTGGTTCCTCCGTTTCTCCATCGCTTTCACCGTCGCGTCTGTGTCTTTCTTTCAGGCTGGAGAAGGGCCCGGCTGCACTTCGGTGAGTCCAGTGAGATCCATCCATACTGCAGAGCCCCACGTTCTGCTCCTTTGGAAGGCAGACTGACTTTTTTTTTTTTTTAAATCAAACCTGTTTATCTACTTATTAAACTTTTTAAAATCTTTGTGACTTTGGGGGAGGATTACAGTTAGACTTAGACAATTTGTTGGTTATTTGTATGTCTTCTTGGTGACTTGTCTGCTCTTCTTTCTATTCTGGCTCCTTTTTGGTTTGTGAAGATTCTTTCCATATAAAGTGTAGAAACTTTTTGTCCTACTTGTCACAAATTATTTTTCTGAGTTTTTCATTTGCGTTTTAATTTCCTTATATTATTTTTTGAGGCATGAGTGTCTTATTTTTAGGTAGTCAAAATTTTTTAAGATTTTATTTATTTTTAGGGAGAGTTGAAGGTAGGGAGAAAGAGGGAAACATCAATGTGTGGTTGCCTCTCTCGCGCCCCCTACTGGGGACCTGGCCTGCAACGAGGCCTGTGCCCCCGCCAGGAATCAAACTGGCGACCCTTTGTTTTGCAGCCGGCACTCAATCCACTGAGCTACACCAGCCAGGGCTAGGTAGTCAGATTTTTTAAAAATTTCCCTGTGTAGTTTCTTCTGTGCTTTCAGGTTTTGGAAGCCCTTCTTATCCCACAGCTGGGCACACAGCCAGAGCTCCCTTCTCCATCTACTCATCTGCTGTGTTCTTTTCCCCTGCAGATCAGTCTCCTTGGGGGTTGGTGATGGGGATTCTCAGAGAAGGGAATGGCTTGGGCAGATGCCCCCACATTGCAGACTACAAAAGTTTTCATAGTTTTATTCTAAAAGATTTGCACATCTCTCTTTAATTTATTCCTAAATATTTGCAATTTTTTGCTGTTGTGTCAATGAGATGTTAGTTTCACTGCTTAGGTCCTTATTAATTTTCCAGGCTGTTCATCTCCCTTTTGCTCACATGATCTTCCTTCGGGCAGGTACAGTAGAACTGATGAGTGGGCCACCTGAGAGCACACCAGGTCACGTTGGTTGACATTGTGGGAATGCACAAACCCTTCTCACACTCAAGGTCTGGCTTATTCCCACCACCTCAGCAGAGTTCACGCCTCACGGATTTAACTCTCCAAGAAGAGCTTGTTTTCTGTACTGGGGTTAGAGGGAGACTCACCATGACTTTGCACAATTTTAAGGAAGAATCCTCTCTGAATTAACATTTAAAAGTAATAATTATATGCAATAATTTAGTTAACAAAATGAGCATCATACCCTCACTGTGTGAAGGAGGCACTACCTCATGTGTCAGCTCTTCAAATGTGCACAATAGCTCTACAACGTAGGTGCTGCCATCTCCCCACTTTACAGATGGAGAAACTAAGGTTTGGAGATGAATAACACGCCCAAGGTCACATGACTAGCACATGGCAGATCTGGGACTCCGACTTTCAGTGTGGCTTCTGGGTCTAACATCAGAGCCAATGTTTATTATCATACAGTGGTTTCCTTCAGACCATCGGAGACAAAGGCAGTATTTCCTAAAGATTAAGGGTCTTCACAGAGGAAAAACTTTCTCTTCTTTTACTGAATACCTGACCAGGAGGCCTGGGAGACTGGAAGATGCTTTTCTTTGGTTCCAGGATACATGGGGTAGAGGGAATCATGAACTAAAATGGGTCAGTGACAGGGGGTGCAGACTTAGAGAGTATTCTTCCCTCCAAAACTACCCAAAGATCCCGTAAGACCTAGCCTTCCTAAACCTCACCTCTCTGTGCCCCTCTGCAGTGGCGGTGACCCTGGACCCTGACACGGCGCACCCCAAACTCATCCTGTCTGAGGACCACAGATGTGTGAAGCTCGGAGACAAAAGGCAGCCTGTGCTTGATAACCCCCAGAGGTTTGATTTCGTCGTCAGTGTCCTGGGCTCCGAGTACTTTGCAGCTGGTTGTCACTACTGGGAGGTGTACGTGGGAGACAAGACCAAATGGATCCTGGGGGTGTGCAGTGAGTCGGTGAGCAGGAAGGGGAAGGTCACGGCCTCGCCCGCCAACGGACACTGGCTTATGCGGCAGAGTCGTGGGAACCAGTACGAAGCTCTCACGTCTCCTCAGACCTCCTTCCGCCTGAAAGAGCCGCCACGCTGCGTGGGGATTTTCCTGGACTACGAAGCAGGGATTATCTCCTTCTACAACGTGACCGACAAATCCCACATTTTTACTTTCACCCACACGTTCTCTGGCCCCCTTCGCCCTTTCTTTGAACCTTGCCTTCACGATGAAGGGAGAAACACGGCTCCTCTAGTCGTCTGTTCAGAACTCCATAAATCAGAGGAATCAATTGTCCCCAAGCCAGATGGAAAAGGCCATGCTAATGGAGATGTGGCCCTGAGGGTGGACTCTTCCCTACTGCCCCCTCAGGCACCAGAGCTTTCCCCACACAGGGACGTGACCCTGCCTTGGCCCCCTGACCTCGGCTCCGCCCTCCAGGGGTTCAAGGCTCCTTATTTTTAAGAAGGTGCCTCATTACCTGCTCCCCTGCCCATCCAGCCCAGTGCTCTGGCCCAACATTGGATTCTGGAACAGCTCATCTTCTTTCCCTGAATTCAGACCCTTTTGTGGTTTCTATTCATGCCACTTATCTCCCAGTTCTAAACCCTGTCTTCTTCTGCGGACTCAAAGTTCCCATTGCCCTGGGAGAATCCTTGAAAACCTCATGAACAGTCAGATTAGGCGTAGGCGGTGACGTTGAATGTGCGTCCCTGAGATCTGGGGTTCTCCATTGGAGGTACTCTTGAGGAGGACTTTATCTTACCTCATCCTGCACTCTGGCTTTCAGTCGTGAGATTACCAGGTCCAGTCCCTGGCTTATTTTGGCAAGAGTTGCTTCTCTCTCTCTTATTTAGTTCAGGCCCTAAGCCCTCAAAGGCAGCTTTTGAAAAGTAAACGTATTTTGGGTCACACATTCTTTCTTCATCCTTCTGGACTATAGGGTGGGGAGGTGGGGAGGGCAGGAGATAAAACATGCTCTCCTTTTGTATTTCCTTGATGCTGTTTACAACATAGTTTGATGATATCCAGAGCTAATGTACATGTTTCCAAAGCTAATTTACTTATTACTGATAACCAGGTACAGGGACTTTATTTGCTATATTTTATTTTTAATCCTTGTCCAAGGATATGTGTATTGATTTTAGAGAGAGGGGAAAAGAGAGAAAGAGAGAGAGAGAGAGAGAGAGAGAGACATTTATGTGAGAGAGAAATATACATCAGTTGCCTCCTGTAAGTGCCCTGACTGGGAATCGAACCTGCAGCCTTTCGGTGTACAGGACGATGCTCCAACCAACTGAGCCACCCAGCCAGAGAAAGCACAGGGACTTTAAATGTGGTAGCTGGAATCTCCAAAAATCTGGGAAGCACAGTCAGGGAGCTGGGAAGCACAACTTCAAACAGCAGGCCAGCTATGTGTGGCCTGGAAAAGACAGCTGTGGATGAGTCAGTCTGTTGCCGTGGCCATTCTGAATATCCTCCTGAGATTTAGAGAGGCCCAGCTAGAAAAAGTGGCAGTGTCACCCACCAGTGTAGTCTTTTTCCCCATAAGACATTAAACTGGAAGACTTGACTATCTGTGTAGCACAGTCTTCCCTTAGGGCAGAGAGTGATGATTTCAAACAGGAATTTGATAGACCCGGTGTGAGGATAAAATAATGAATCTGACTTTTTGGTGTGGGTTGCAGAAAGAAGTCTAGTCTCTTTCAAGTCATACCACATATGTGACCTGGCCCCTTCTTGGAGAGATTGGCTCTCAGTTTGCAGATGGGTCCTCGGTTGTGCCCAACCAAAACCGGATCTTTCTGTCAGAAGTTCTCTGGTACTCTGTTAGTGCCTGTGTTGGTCAGCACTCATCATTCTTCATAGAAACAGAATATATATATACATGGAGAGAGAGAGAGAGAGAGAGAGAGAGAGAGAGAGAGAGAGAGAGAGAGAGAGAGAGAGAGAGATTATAAGAAATTGGCTCATGTGATTATGGAGGCTGGCAAGTCCCAGGATCTGAGGGTTAGTCAGCAGGTTGGAGAGATCCAGGGGAGCCAATGATCGAGTTCCTGCCAAAGTCCGGAGGCCCAAGACCCAGGAGAGCCTATGGCATAATTCCAGTTTGAAGGCTGACAGGCTTGAGATGCAGGGAGAACTGACATTTCAGTTTGAGCCTGAACGTAGGGAAAAGCGGGTGTCCAGTCGAAAGCTCTCTGGCAGGAAGAATTTCACTACGGGGAAGGGTCAACTATTTGGTTCTATTCAGGCCTTTAACTGACTGGATGAGGCCCGTCCGTGTCAGGGAGGTCAATCTACTTTACTCAAGCTAACAATTTAAATGTTGATCTTCTCATCCAAAAATACCCTTATAGAAACATCTAGAATATTTGACCAAATACTGGGCACCCTGTGGCCTAGGCAAGTTGATACATAAAATTAAACACCACAGTGCTTAAGTAGAATTTTTCACTTGCTTTTTTACAGTTCTTAAATAAAAGTTTGGTATCTATTGTTGTTATTTACATTGTGAATGAGAAGTTGAAGGAAAAGGCTTTGAACTGATAAGAGAAAAACAGATTATGGGTTTGGTTTCCAAACAGCCTTGAATCCACCCGAGCAAGCTTTAATCACAGTTAAAAATAAAGCCACAGTTTTATTTCTGAGCCTACCTTCTTAGCATTTATTTAAACCAATTTATGTGATAGTGTATGGGGGGTTATTTATATTTCATTCATCCACATTCAGTTTCAAACCTACTTTCCTGAATATCCCAATCTTAAAACTAACGTTGCTCACACTGGCTTCACCCAAGAGAATTTACCAGCAGGAAAGAAACCCGTCACTTGTAGAGGCAGAAGCTTGTTATATCCTTACAACAGCTCTGCCAGGAATTTTACAGCGGAGGAAAATGGTGCTTCCAAATAGCTGGGTGCTAGAACGGGGATTCTAAATCTGGTTTATCTAGCTCTGAAGACAATAGTCTTTGCAATGAAATACCGTGCAGGTATGAGAAGCCTGCTCATTTAGGCTACCTATTCATTTAGGCTCTTTCTTTTAAAAGTGAAGCCTAAAAAAAAAAAAAATCCTAATCCTTGTTCAGTTAGGATCAAAGACAACAATCAAGTTTCACCACATAGGACTCGGAAAAATCCCTGTGCAAGGGTGTTAGGAGATCCGGAGGCGGCTCTTAGGACAGGGAACTTTTAGCTTCTCTGACAAGTGGATTAGGTTAGTTGATCTTTAAAGTCCTTCCAGTTCTACAATCCTTTGATTTCCAGTTATGAGCCTCGATGGAGGTTCGCGACTCCAGGCTTCGTGGGATGTCTACAGAACCGGCAACACTCACCAACTCATGGAGTAGTGGCAGCTATCCTGCATATTCTACAACTCCCCAGACCAGTGGCCCGGCACGTTGGGCTTTTAAGGCCGAAGCGCAGAAGGAGATCTGAGGACCTTAGGAGGAAACCCAGTGTCCACAGCTGGGCTCAAAACTTGTAAAATATCTTCGTCGAGTCTACGATTTTCTTCAGGACTACAACTCCCAGCAGGCCACCCCGGAGCCCAAAGCTTATTGGCGGCCCCTCTCGAGTTTCTTGCGGCGTGGCAGCTAATATAGCCAATGGGAAAGAAAGATAGTTCTCAGAACCCAATCCTGGAAAGGTAGGGTGGGTCCTTTCTGGGTTCCGGCTCCGGCCCCTCCCCCGGCCCACCGAGGCAGCGATATCCCTGACCCAACGGCGGGAGCGAGGTGCGTTCAGGTTGGGCCCGGGGACACGGGGGAGGTGGATATGTTTTCGCGGGGACTCTGAGCATGGCTCCTTCCATCTCTCCGGGGAGCCAGAGGTTGTGGCTTTGCTCCCCGAACCCAGTGAGGGCAAATGGGGCCCTGAGATCCCGACCCCTGTGAACCTTCCCCAGCCCGCGCGCTAGACTGCTGGCCCCAGTCCTTAACCCCTGTCCCTTCTGTTGGCCTTCTGAGTACTCCAGTCCCCCTGCCACTGACCATATCTTTGGAGTCAGCCCCTCTTCTCTCACCCCTCCGGCCCAAGCCCGCTAGCAGCTCCGAACCCAGCCCCTGTCCTCCAGAACGCCGGATTCCTGGGGCTCCGCCCTGGGCTTCTTCCCTGCCCACAGCATATACCCCAGCCTCTTGGGTCCGGTTCCCCCGCACCTCTGTCTGCAGCGTTTGCGCCCTCTCTCCTGACCACCTTCTCTGACCCTCTGACTCCTTTGATTCCCCCCTCCCCCACCATCTCCGACCCGTTATCCAGGTACCCTGCACAGTTCCCTCTTCTTCTTTGGTCATTCCAAGCTTCTCTACCCCTTCCTCCCCCCGTTCTTAACTTGACCCTAAAGAACCCAAACTTTGGCCCTTCAGACCAACTTCCAGCTTGGTCTCTTCCCTCTAGTCTAGGCCTTCGGCCTGCAGCATCTGGCCAGCCCCATCTTCTTGGCTCTTACTGTGTAGACCTGACTCCACCTCCACTGCCAGAATCCCTTCCACTCTCCGTCCTCCTTGCACCTCTGAGCCTTGGGGAAGACCAGCTGGATGGGCCCCCTTCTCCCCCAAATCTCTGAAATGTGATCTGAAAGTGTCTCTCTGGACCTTACCTGCTACAGTCTTCTCAGTAGACAGTGGGTTCCCCATCTCTGGGAGTCCCAATCTGACTCACCCATTCTGCAAGTCCTAGCTGGAATACCGCCTTTTCCCTGAAGCTGGTCATCCCAGATCTCTTCAGGGAGAGATGCCCATGGGGTCTGAAATCCTATGGCACTGTTTTTTCTTCCCCTCCCTCCCTCCTTCTCTCCCTCCCTCCCTCCCTCGTTCCCTTTCTCCCTTCCTTCCATTTTTCTTTCCCTCCCTTCCTTTCTCCCTTCCCTTCTCTCTCCCTCCCTCCTTTCCTCTTTCTTTCTCTCCTTCTCTCTCTTATTTCCTTCTCCCCTCTCTCTCTCTCCAACACTAGTGTGGTGCATAAAAGCACTGGCTTTGGAGTGATGGACACAGGTCCTAGTTCTGCTAATCACGTGCTGTGTGCCCTTGGGCAAGTTACAATTCCTCTGTGCCTCAGTTTCCTCATTGCTTACATAAGTTGTGAGAATGAAATGAGATGATTCACATGTAGTGCTTAGTCCAGGGCTTAGCACTTGGTATGAGCTTTAAAATGTTAACTATTATTATTGTTCCCGTACAGTGTGCCAGCTGCTGTATGAGGCACTGAAGAGTGGGTACAAAAGTGACTAAGGCACAGTCCCTGTGCCCCTGCAGCTTAACCTTCTATTGTACCAGAGTTTCTGGTACAGCTTGTTTCACTGTACCGTACCACAAACTGTTTGAGGGTAGAAACCACAGCACTAAATCTTTCTGCTCTTACTTTGACCCAGCATTCAGACCTAGGTAGAATCAGCTTGGATAAAGGTAGGTTCTCAGAGGAGCAGGATTGGAAGCGAGTGGAGGCTGTGTAGCCCACTGCATGGAGCCCTAAGTGGGGTGGGCAGGGTCAGGGAGTGAATCAAGTTCATATTCACTCATATGTTTAAAAACATTTGAGTCCTGGGCCTTGTGCTGGGGAGAGATTACCAAAATGACCCAGTCCCTACCCTCATATGAACTACTAGGGGAAACAGACATGTAAATGGCTAATTGCAAATCACAGTAAAATCAAGTATAAGATTCTGTGGGGGCTTAAATGAGGAAGCGGGCAGGAATCGAGAGATTGCCGAGGAGCAGTGGGTGAGAATGTTCACAAGCACGACGTGGGTTCTGGAGACAGGCCTGGCCCTGATTTGTTCAACTCATGCACAAATACTTATTAAGAGTCTTCTCTATCTGACCACCACTACTCAAGGAGTTGAAGTTACATTAGTGAATAAAACAAGGACCCTGGCCCTCACGGACTTATGTTTTAGCAGGGGGAGACAGATAATGAATGAGAGACACACAAATAAATGCAGTGCTAGAAGGTGAGAAGTGCTGTGGGGAGGGGGACTGGGCGTGTGGGAGGGGTTGTGATGTTTAAAAGGATGGTCAGGAAACAGTGCACTAGTGTCAAGGAGTAAACTGATGTTTAGCTGCGCATTTGAAAGTGAAGCAAGTCTATTTCAGCACTGCTTAGCTAGCTTCCTCCAGAAACTTTCAGACAGAGATTGGTAAGCTATAGCTTGCCTCCTTTTATTTTAAATAAAGTTTTATTGGGGCACAGCCACGTTCATTTACGTATTGTCTGTGGCTGCTTTTACAACACAATGGAGCTAAGTAATGGCAACAGAACTGCTATGGGCCCAAATAGTTACTAAACATTTACTCTCTGGCCCTTTATAGAAAAGGTTTTCTGACCCCATTTCTTAAAGACTTGAGGCCCTGTCCGTATTTCCCAATTTAGATTACATATGGTCTTGTACCTTTTTTTAATTAAAAACATTTTTTTTCCTAACAAGATCACTGAAGGGGATCTTTTTCATTCTCGCGTTCTTCGCAGGGCTAGGAAATAGTGTCTTCGACAACTGTGGTAGCAGCTGTCGTTCGCTGAGTGCCTAGTAAGTGCCACACACGACACTGAGCACATCACAGACATTGTCTCCAACACAGAGTTCTGCAGCGCAGGTCGGGTATCCCGGGTCGGTGATGCGGGAGTTGAGGCCCAGAGTGGCTGAGTAATCTGCAGCGTTGTAAAGATGCTGCGTCACCAGTGGGCTCCGACCCTGAATGCAGTCAGTGCCCCAACTGTCACTCTGTGTGGCTGTTTTCCCCTAATACGTCCTGACTTGAAGAAGTATCAGTCTTCATTTTCTGTCATCAGCATCCTCTCACAGTCTGTGCTTCCCTCCCTCACCCCTCCGTTCACATCACTCTGTGCAGAGTCTTCCGCAGCCCGCTCAGCCTTTTGCGATGGTATTTCTTCATGGCCCAGAGGAAACACCAGACCCCCCTCTTGTCTGAAGTACTTCTGTCTCCTCATTCCCTGTCCTTGGCTCTAGGGCCTCAAAGGAATGTGCGCAGCTTAGCAGGCACTTACTGAGGTCTGCACAAGCCGGCCCTGTGCTCAGTACTGTGTGTGTGTAGCTGTGTGTGGGGGAAGTGTGGTTTGTGTGTCCGTGGCATGTATGGTGTGAGTATAGATGTGTGTATGGTGTGCGATTGGGTAGCCATGTGTGTGGCTGTATGTGTGGGAGGGCTGTGCACGGTGTATTGGATGTGCATGTGTGTGGCCTGTGAGAGTGCTGTGAGAGTGTGGTATGAGTGTGTGTCTTTATGTGACTGTGGTATGTACGTGTGGTGTGAGAATGTGGCTGAGCGTATCTTGTGTGTGAGGATGGCTGTGCACGTGGTGTGTGCACACGCACATGTGCTATATATGGTGTATGAGAGGGGAAGCGTGTACCGACCAATCAGAACGGACACAGGCTGAGTGCCCTGCAGTAGGTCTGGATGGCTCAGGTGTTAACTCTTTAGTTGCCGGATTATGGTGAGGTCCTGAGAAAGGAAGGGAAGGGAAGGGTGGCTGAACCCTTACGAGGATGCAGAGCCAGACCTCATAAACAAGCAGGAGAGTCTCAAGAATCAGAGATTCTGTTATGATCATTTTTGAAAGCAGACACATAGATGGATGCTGTCAAGGAAGGTTTTTTTAAAAAAAGATTAAAAAATAAGAGGAATTTTAGTTAACTTACAGTTGAACTCATTCTGAAAAGCTGAAAATCTGAAATCATTCTAAAATGGAAACTACTTGCACATAAATTATAGTCTAGACCATTATTGTTTAGTGGTATTAAGAAAAAAGGTATTAAAATTTCACAAATATTATTTGTTGGTGGTGGACAAAGCTGTGTCTTCTTTTTGTTCTGGTTTGGTGACTTTAAACATCTGGAAGTTTGTTCACTTGAAAGTAAGTAAAGGCATTCTATGCACTTATTTCCATTAATTGAGGTTACTTCTGATGGCTGGTTCGTGGGGAAGGTGTATACGCCTTTGGACAGAAGAGCTGCTTCCCTGGGACCTGGCCCAACCCTAGGAATAAAGGTGTTGGCCATTTGTGTTCATTCTCAGGGCTCGGAGATGGGCAGTGAGAAGGAGCAGGATCCAGAGCAGCACCTGCCTGAGGAAGGGGAGCGGGGTAAGCCCTGGAGAGTGGATGACTCAGAGGGCTTTCGGATCCCAGCTGGGGAGAAAGAGCATGGGCCAGAGAGCCAGTCGGTGGGGCTGCAAGGGATCCATCCAAAACGGCCATGGCAGAAAGTCATTGTACCCACTGGAAAGCCAGGGGACCCCATTGCTCAGCCAAGGCCTGAGGCCGAGGAGAAGCCCTTTGTATGTGCCCAGTGTGGCAAAACCTTCAATAATACCTCCAACCTGAGAACACACCAGCGGATCCACACGGGTGAGAAACCTTACAAATGTTCTGAATGTGGCAAGAGCTTCTCGAGAAGCTCCAACCGCATCCGGCACGAGCGGATCCACCTGGAAGAGAAGCACTACAAATGCCCCAAGTGTCAGGAGAGCTTTCGGCGGCGCTCGGACCTCACCACGCACCAGCAAGATCACCTGGGCAAGCGGCCGTACCGCTGTGACATCTGTGGTAAGAGCTTCAGCCAGAGCGCCACGCTGGCCGTGCATCACCGGACCCATCTCGAGCCCGCGCCCTACATCTGCTGTGAGTGCGGGAAGAGCTTCAGCAACAGCTCCAGCTTTGGGGTGCACCACCGCACCCACACAGGCGAGAGGCCTTACGAGTGTGCCGAGTGTGGGCGGACCTTCAGCGATATCTCCAACTTTGGAGCCCACCAGAGGACCCACAGAGGGGAGAAGCCCTACCGGTGCACCCTGTGCGGGAAACACTTCTCCCGGAGCTCCAACCTCATCCGCCACCAGAAAACGCACGTGGGAGAGCAGGCTGGGAAAGAGTCCACCTGAAGGAGAGTGAGGGGAGAGAGAGACCCTCTAGGAGTATAGAAAGATCTTTAGGACCTGCTGCTGCCTCCTTGACCTCAGCCCCTTCACCCCACTTTGGAGGATGGTTTCCCGATGCCTCTGAAGCCAGGATCTGCAGGATGCCTTGAGAAGGGACTCGAATAAAAATCCTTGCCCCCTTCCAATCCAGTTTCTTGCCTTGGAAAGTCAGAAGATCTGGTCTTGGCTTTGTCTCCTTGGGGTGAAAGAGAAATAGCATAGGTTTAGTACATGCTCATTTCATTAGGGCCACTGTCCCTGGCCTTTGAGGAAGTACCTACGCGATGGGCATCTCTGTCTGAAGATCCTCCAAACCGTGTACGAAGTGCTTAGGACACAGCGCAGTGGCCTGCTAGCTCCCATCTGCTGTGCCCCCGCTGGGCTAGGGGGAGCACTCCGCCCAATGGAAGGGGCCTCCTTGGCCTGGAGGAGAGGCCTGAGGTCCTGCCTTAGAGGTGAAAGGGCAGCCGCCAGAGAGCTGTGACCCGGGGACCTTCACACTGCCCCCTGTGTGTGACTTGTTATCCCCACCCCAACCTGCCTCTGTTCCCCGAGTGATGAGCAGTAAAACCCTTCAATGCAAAGGACCTGTGTACTTATTTGGGGCATTAAGGAAGTGGGCCGCTGGGGGTGTGGTCTCTCTGCAGCCACTCAGGGAGAAAGTGGGATTTCAAGGAAGACACGGTGGGTGGCTGCTCTGAGAAGCAAAGGGAGGCTGAGTCGCTGGGCCTCCGAGGAGGAAGGAGAAAGGGAAGGAAGTCACAGTAACTGAGCATCCACTGTCTGCCATAGATTTCACGGGTCACATTCACATTCTTGATTTCATTTAGTTGTCACAGCAACCCTCAAGGGAGTAAGATGAGGACACAGACGTGAGGAAAGGTGGAGTCATACAGCAGCGAGTGGTAGAGGCAGAGTTCACACTTGGGCCTCCCTTGGTTCCGAGATGATACTCTTCACTGCACTCACCTTGCCGGCTCTGAAGCAGCAGCCGCTTAGGGGGCTTACCTGGGACCGAGTGATTGCCTAGAGGTGGCAGCTAGTGTGGCCTCTTCACGAGGCCCCTGACTATTTGCTCTGTAGGGAGTTAGTGCCAGCCTTTTAAACTTTAGGTTATTGATTGAGAACTTACCCTGTATCTGGGAAAAATGACAGCGGCAGGGAGTAGGACGTGAGGGACGGGGTAAGATGAACCCAGAATGAGAGTCTTTGACCTTAGTAACAATAATTCAGTGCCTGCATCTGGGACAGCTTAGCAGGGATCATCCCCGGCTTCTTGCCCTGGTTTAGGCCTGGTTCCGCAGTGCAGATTTCAATGTTTTCTGCAGAGAAGTTAAGTGTTCACCCAGATTTCCTATGAATACGAAAGACCCCTCTCTCCTTGCCAGTCTGCGGCCCTGCTCCTCTGGCGTGAAGGGCCTCCTTCACTTGTAGCCGGTTGGCAGGATGTGACTGTGGCACCTGGTTTGGGACTGACCACCATAACCTGACCTGTCACAGGGGACCCTGCCACCCACCTAGGAAGGGAGGTGCCCGGGAATTTGCACACTTGATCCTATGGAGTTCTCAGCAACCCTGCGAAGTTAGAACTCTGCACCTTTGACAGCTGCAGAAACAGGCTGACGGAACATGACTCATCCTCGACGACCTGGCAAGCAGATGGCAGGGTCAGGGACCGAACCTGCTTCTGCCGAATCCAAAACCTGTATTGTTCCCAGCTGTAAAAGAAGACTTCCCAAATAATTCCCTAACAGTCGTAGGACATGTCACAGTTTATGAAGCGCTTTTATTTTACCTACATTTTCCTACTTCTTGGAAATCTCCATACAAAATATTTTAAATGTAGAGTCACCCAAACCGGCATGTATGAATTCTCGCAATCCCAAATAATGAAAGTCGCCGTCTCCCAAACACCTGCTGAGCACTGGTGATTGAGCATCTACTACCTCTGATCTCCATAATGTCACCAAATGGACCCGGGGGACAAAATACTATTACCAAATGGCTCCCCTTCTCCTGGGGTTCCCCTGTATTGGTTTGCCTTTCCCGTCACCAGGGAATTATAGCTCTCAATGCCAGAGATTGATGAAAAGGAAAGGAACTATTTATTCAAAAAGTTATACAGACTTAGAGTAATGACTTAATGTCTTCATTAAAATCCCAAAGTCCCTTAAAACACCCCCCCTTTGCCCAGTCCTGGGTGCTATATCTCAGGAAAAGAAATAGAAGTCTGTGGCTCAGGTAGCCCCTAGTTCTTCCCAGTAATCTGTGCTCGGCTGGTAGGCCTCCCTCAGTTCCCAGCACCATCAGCGGTGTCACCAGGATCTCCAGTTCTTAACCCAAACTCACAGTGCACCTTCTCATGGCCCACCAGCAAGAGTCCTTTCACCCCTTTCCTTCCTGCAGTGTCTCTCCTGCATTTTTCTAAACTGCTAAGAGAGAGCTCTGCATTGCAGCTACATCTTGCTTTCCAGCTTCCTAAGCTGTGTGGTTCTCCTCGAGTGGCTGCCATGCCTCGGTTCAAATCCCAGCTGCATTCCATTTCTGACTCCTCCCACAATCAGTTACACCTGCCAGCATTCCCATATTTTTCCAGCTTTTCTGGGCTGCTATAGTATGTCCAGGCAGGTGTGGCCCTGTGGCATGGAGCCAATCGTCTCCAATCGCCTCCAAGCTCTCACGTAAGTGCTATAAGTAGGGGGAGTTGCCTCCCAGTTACATCCTGGGTGGAAGTCACTCCCATCTCCCTGACTCAAAAAGCAGCCACAGCTATTTAACATATCCATGAAACCAGTCAAAAGTTATAGATATGTTAAATGACCACTCTAGAGGTTATTTGCAAAACTGTTGGTATGCTAAATAACTCAATGGCCCTGCTCCATGTGTCCCATCTCCCTATCCAGACTTATGGGGGTGAGGACATCCTATATTTTTAATATTTCCTGCACACTCAGTTCTGGACCCCATTACAAATCCCTCTTTGGTTGGGGGGGTGCTAACTGCACCCTGTTACAGTAACTATCCTGCTATCCTGCAAGGTAGCAGTATGCACATTTTCAAGATAGAAAAGTTCCGAGAGGTTAAATGACTTGACCTAATGACTGAACTGGGATTCAAATCAGATATGTCTGATTCCAAGGCCAAGCCCTTCATTAGACCCATGAAAAGCTACTTTCTTTCAGCCTGGGGGCTCGGCATCATTACCCTTTAAACCTAGAGCCTTAGTGACAGCTACTGTGACTTTAGGAATCTTTGCTGCCAATAAGACCCGGGACCAATGTACAAGGCCCCTACTTTGATCACGAGACATAATTTGCTGACCAATCTCATTTGTCCTTTTAAAAAAAAAAAAAGATTTTATTTATTTTTTTAGAGAGAGGGGTAAGGAAGGAGAGAGGAGGAGAAATATCGATGTGCAAGGGAAACATCAATCGGTTGTCTCCCCCACGCCCCCAACCTCGGACCTGGCCCACAGCCCAGGCGTGTGCCCGGGCTGGGAGTCCAACCTGCGACCTTTTGGTTTGGAGGCCGGCACTCAGCCCACTGAGCCATGCCGGCGAAGGGCTTATTTGCCCTTTTCTGACCAAGTTCATGGGCTAGGGTTTCTGTGTTATCCAGACCTTTAAGTTTTAATAATTTAGTCACTCTCCGACTTGTGTTTTTGTTAGCTTCCTTTATTTTCTCCTTTATTCTCTTTTCTTCTCCCCCTTCTCACTTCTCCCTCAATTTTTTTCTCTCGCTCCCTCCTCTCTTAGTTACTGCGAGTACCGACAGTGAAGAAGACGTAGCTCCCATTTTCTCTGAGTTCCAATGCAGGATGGGAGCTGTGGTTACAGTTTTTCCCAGGGTTCCACAGGAGCCCAGAGGAGGGCCTGAACTTGGCCTATATTGGACATTTGGGCCCAGAAGTTAATAATACCTGGTCCTTCCAGGACCCCAGGAGAAAAGAAACTTCCCTCTAAACAAGGTGTTGGTCAACGCAGGTGGGAACGGCTAACTCTTTGTAAGGGAGGAGACTGGGACAGGGGTTGCTTTTGGTCTCGAAGAATGAACGAAGAATGAACGGGTCTTTGCTAGGTAAAGGAGAGGACGGGGAGGCTTAGGGTTTTAGGGAATGGGGAAATGCTTGGCGTAGTTTAGCGTGTCCTGTGAGGAGCAATCGGAGCTGACAAGGTAGATGGAGGCCAGATCACGAAGGGTGCTGGGTTTCAGGATAAAAAATGTGGACAGTGATGTAAAGCAGGGGGATGTCGCGATCACATCACCCTTTAGGGGGACACCCAAGTCAGTGTGGAGGGTGAAGGTAAGAGGGTCGAGTTAGCAGGTGCCAGCTGGGGCTCTCCTAACCCGAGAGAGCTCCGGGCTGTTGTCTCAGAGCCAATTCCGCAGACGGGGAGGATTCCAACCCTCCACACAATTTCTCCGGATTGCTGGGATATATGCTTTTATGGTCTCCTCTTGCCAAAGGATCTTGCCAAAGGTTCCGGTGGTCTACAAAGCCTTCTGTGTTTTGTCCCCCTTAGCCCTGTCACAGAATTAAGAACCCTCATCAACTTCCCTGAGAAACTGTCATACCGGGCATTCTGTAAGTTTAGAATCCCTTTGAGAGATTGGGAATCTTGGGGAGGGGTTTACATCACGGCGTGTCACTAGCTTGCTGTGCTCTTTCCTCCCGTCACTGCCCCCCCCCCCCCGCCCCCGTCTCCCAGACTGCCCCAGAAACTCCAGGGTGTTCTACTCTATTACAAAAAGCTCTTTAGCTTTTCTGAGCCCTGATGCCCATTTGCGTACACAAACACATCAAGGAGCTCAGCACAACAAAGTCCTCACTATTCAACAACATGCCTCCACCCCATAAAGCAATTGCAAAATAAACAAACATTCGAGGAGATTTGCAAAGCATGTCATGTTGAAGGTTTAAGGCAGCAGTCTGAGCACAAGCGATTGTCTCCCCTTCCTTCTGAGACCCTTCCCCCAAACAACAGAAAAGGATGTAAACACATAACAGCCAAGAGAATGGCAGGGAAGAGGGGTGTCGGGGGCAAAGACAAATTTCAGGGAATAGATGATGCACAACGATGGCTTAACTGAGTGAAGGAAGCCATAGCCCAGACATCGGCAAGGGGAGTGAGAGCCAGTCTTCCTGGCAAACTCCCGGGGAGGCTCGGAGTTCATAATTAGCAAGTGCTGAGGAGGACAGATAAAAGTGGACCTAAAAACCAGGGGGTTTGTAGGTCTGTCCCTGCAGAAGCTTGCACCAGTCATTCACCCCCCTCTTATCTCCAGGATGGAGGGTGACGCGTACTTTCTTCCAGACGAGTGACACACATATGTGCACACGTGTGCATGTGCACATGCAACAAAACCCCAGGAGGTTCACTCTCCAGAAATCCAATAAATCTCTAAGAGAAATTTAGTGTGTTTAGTGTGGTGTTGGCATACCAGAATAAAGCTTTGGTCATTCTAACATTTATGAACCCTCCCCCCATCTCTCCAAGGATCACCTGCCCACTGACCCTACAGTCCAGCCGGCCAGAAAACCTTACCCATCCTACTGTTCAAGAGGGTGACTAC